GTGAGTTTAAGCCACTGGGTCCGGGACGCGAACCATGGTCGACTACATGGGAGTCCAGCGACATAGCCATTTCGCTAACTGCTGGTCCCGATATACAACATTTTTCTTTCTGGGGGGGAGTTTTTTTTTTTTTTGGCTATAGGGTGCATGCGCTCGCCAGACAGACAGAGAGAGACATAGAGACAGAAAGCGAGAAATCACCCCCCAGGGGGGATGGCCACGCTGTAATCCCTTCTCCTCCATTCTCCTCTCAGGATCTTGGGCACGCACACACATGCGCCCGGCGTGAGTTTTAAGCCACTGGGTCCAGGACGCGAACCGCGGTTGACTACGTAGGAGTCCAGTGACATAGCCATTATGCTAACTGCTGGTTCCCGATATACAACATTTTTTGACAGAGAACTTGACATACTTTTGTTTGCCCCCCCACCCCCCGGCTAAAGGTTCCAAGTAACTTCCAACATTTATGTTTGGTAGTGCACACCAAGGCATTCCCTCCTGTATACACCAGACTGAGGGCTCCTCCTTCTGCCTAGTACACGTGCACATTTGTCTGCTGCTGCTCAGCTGCTTCAGCTGGGGCTCAGTGGCCACTGGGCCTTAGGCTTCTCCAGGCCATTTCCCAAAGACTGAGTTCCTGTTGGCCCTGTCAGTGTCTATCCCTTCTTGGCAAAATGAATCTGATGTCTTGGTCTCTTGGGTCCCTGAATTGTGGTATATCGAGGAGTGACTTTGGATCATGGGTTAGCTCTCTATTGCTCTCTAGTAGCTGCTAGGAGGCAGGTTTGCCTGGGGAGTTGGGGATGCTTCAGCTGGAGACCTGCGTCTGCAGAAGGCATGCACGTGGCTTATGTCCTTTTTGTTTGGGCAGCTGCCAGACCGCTTGGATGGCTGCTGTCTCAGGAAGCCCTCAGTGAGGCCATCGGCCGGCCATCTCAGGGCTTGCTGTAATCCACAGAGAGGCAGCCACTTCTGCACAGAGATGGCGTGTGACTGTGTGTGTACTTTCATTGTCATCCTCTCCTGTTATGGGCAGGTTATTCAGAGAAACTACAGTCACTCCTCCCAGCCGTGTCCAGCGCCTCTCTAGCTTGAATACTGGGGAGGGGGAGAGAGTAGTGTTCATTTTGTTTCAGGCCCTTTATTCTCATTCTGTGGAGGTTTCACTCTATGGTGTGTTTCAGGGAGACCCAACTGGGCAGTCTGTCCAGTTAGCTGGTCAGTGAGAAATGTAGTTCTTGAGTGTCACCTTAAGCTCTTCCTTTTTTCCAGCATGGTCTCATCTTACCTGGTGCATCATGGATATTGTGCCACGGCTACAGCTTTTGCTCGAATGACTGAAACCCCAATTCAGGAAGAACAGGCATCCATAAAGAACAGACAAAGTAAGGTTAATTCTCCTGTCTCCTGTCCTCCCTCACCTGTCCCTACCTCTGCTCTCTGGCTCATGCCAGTCCTAGTTTACCTGTCAGGAATCTGTTCTGCTCTGGTCCCACCCCAAGACCAGCCCACAGCCTGGGTGAACCCCAGGCCCTATTCTGTCCCTCCTTCAAGAGCACGCTGCCCAGATGGACAGTTGGCAGCATGGGAGCATCTCAGGGCAGCCCTCTAAGCACATTCTGAAGGCTAGCATGGCTGGATCCCACTCTACCATGCTTGTTTTCTACCCTTTAATCCTGACTTCCACTCGGTTTCCTATTCCTAGCCTTCTGGAAAGAGTATGTTTACATCATATCAGACCAGCACCCTGCCTTTCCCACCACTTACTCAGCCTAAGTTGCTCTGCTAGTCCAAGCCAGAGAGGCTCGATTGGTCAGCCAAGGTGAAGCTGTCAGTCAGTGGCTGCTGTGAAGGCACCTCTCTCTGCTCCTACCTTTGGTGCTGCCCATTGCAGACATCCCAGAGTCTTCCCTTGATCAGAGGATGCTCTCCCGGTGTTCAGACTGGCCTGTGTACTTTGTTTGGGGGCTCTTGGAAAGGAAGGGTGTTGGGAAAGAGAAAAAGAGCCAAGGAAGGAGATAGAAGTCAGAAAGGAGTGTGAGGGTGAGTGGTGTGTGTGGACATTGTGTCTGTGAGTGCCTGCTTGCGTCTCTGAGCCTGTCGTCTGTGTATGTGCATGTGTCTGTGTCTCCCAGAGAAGCTGCGCTCAGCCAGACAGATGGGAAGGGATCCCAGACTTGGGATCTACGAATGAGAGAGCCTCAGACCCAGAAGTCACTTCGGCAAGACACACAAGGCCTCAGGGCAAGAACAAGAAGGCAGCAGCAAGATGCTGATGGCCTGAGAAGTGTCGACATCCGAGGTGCCAGCATGAGGAGGATGACCTCCTCTCCTAGCAGGGAGCACACTGCAGCCCCTAAAGACTGCCAGGATGTGAGCCCTCACCCAGAAGCCAAGTATCCCATTGGCATTCTTCATGGGAAGCCTGGAACTAGAGAAGTCTATTTGAAGAGGAGCCCTCTAGCTGCCATGCTGCCTTGGTGTCCAACCCTAGATCATGCTCCCACAGCCAGGGTCCCTCCCTACCCCTCGGTCACTGGCCCCAAAGAAGCAGTCTCCTACCTGTGGGCTGAGAGTCCCCCCTCCATTTTCATCCCTCTTTTGAGGACTTGTTGGCACTTGGCAGGAACCAGAGTCTGCTGTGGGGCTGGGCAACCAGGTTCTTTCTCTAGCCTCTTCTGTGAGCACCTTAAGCTGGCAAGAAACCCTGAGCCCAGCTCTTGACTGGGCCTACCCCAAGTCTGGCAGTGTGCCGGCACATGTCCATGAAAAAAAGTCTGCTGCTAGCCCTCAGTGCTGTGTTCTTGCTCTCCGCAGAGATCCAGAAGCTGGTGCTGGAGGGCCGGGTAGGAGAGGCTATTGAGACCACCCAGCGCTTCTATCCAGGGCTGCTGGAGCATAACCCCAACCTGCTCTTCATGCTCAAGTAAGCCTTGGGTCCCACCACCTCCCCTAGAGCCCAGCCCCTCTCAGCCGCTGGTGGGAACATTCAGCCCAAGCCAAGCCCAGAGCATTGCCGCTCTGCTCCCTCTGCAGGTGCCGCCAATTTGTGGAGATGGTGAATGGGACCGACAGTGAGGTCCGCAGCTTGAGCTCCCGAAGCCCTAAGTCCCAGGACAGCTACCCTGGCACCCCCAGCCTCAGCCCCCGCCAAGGCCCCAGTAGTCCCCACACACACAACACAGGTCAGCCACGCTCCCGACGCTCTGGGAGGAACTGGTGTGGAGAGGAAAGGCCGCCCCACATACCCTTCCCTGGGTTGGGTTTGGGAGAAGGGAATCGGGACCACCACAGTTATTCCTAGGGCCCCACTTGATGGCAAGCTGCCCCTCTTTCTCTGACTGTTTCTGCCTTCTAGGAGCAGAGAGTCCCAGCTGTAGCAACGGTGTCGCATCTGCCAAGAGCAAACAGAACCACAGTAAATACCCTGCACCCAGCTCCTCCTCCTCGTCCTCATCCTCCTCGTCCTCCTCCTCCCCATCCTCCATCAATTACTCCGAGTCCAACTCAACAGACTCTACCAAGTCCCAGCCCCACAGCAGTACCAGTAACCAGGAGACCAGGTGCCCATCTTGCTCTGCTTCCTCCTCTCTGCTGTCTGCTCTGTGTCAGCTGGGCCCGCTGCAGCTGTTCTTTCAGTGCCAGCCCCTGCCCTCCGCCCTGCCCCTCTCCATCCCAGGGCTGTGCCTAGAGCACTAGCCACTGACCCACCGAGCCAGCATTGGCTCTGGTTTCCAGCCCTACCCATGATGTAGCTGCATCGTGGCCCTGGCTTTCTCCAGAGGCTGAGAACGTGGTTTCCTCCAAGGAGGCTGGGCCTGTTAGAATCCCCAGCGTCTAGAATGAAGGGGCTTACACTGAGGCTGACTTGTAGACAGCAAGGTTGGGCCAGCAGGGACCTAGGCTACAGGTTACTACTGCAGGTGGCTTCCAGCAGTCCCCAGGAATGC